TATAAAAAAGCCTATCTATATTTATGGCATTAACTTTGTGGTTTCAGGGTGCGACCACTGAGCCACTAGAGTATTGTGTCACAATGCTCACAATCCTCTAAAGGCTCGGTGGTCACGCCTTGAAACCACTGCTCTTCATAATGGCGTTTGCTTGCTATTCGAATAGGAATGTTTATTTTTATCCAGATATAGATAAGGGGCTTTGAAACCACAGATTTATTTTATTACTAAACAATACACGCATCTGCCGAGTAAAAAGGTCTTTCTTTTCCAGAGATTTTTCTCTGACCTTAAAACACTTACTTCCCAAGCCAGTATTGTGACTTTATAAATTATTTCCTGCGGTTTAAATTTAATGTAAATATACTTTGCTATAATTAAAAGTAAAAAATCTGATGTGTACCCACGACTTCCTTGTACGAATATTAATTGCGCATTTTTTCTTGCATTTATTTAAACTTATAGATGAATTAATACTTCGCCGAAACACATAAACCATAATAGAATAAAATGCATTCTTTAAATTCACTTTGTTTACCATAGCGACCACTCTGTGCTAGGTTTACTTAAACAGTATATATTTCATTCATATTATACTCAGAATGCACAAAATGTTATCATTTAAAGAATTATCTAATCATTGCCACATGTTCTATTCAAATACTATAATAAAGCTAGAACTATGTATAAAAGAAATTAAGCAAAAAAACAAAAAGAAAGTTTTTCACAGACGACTGAGTATTTCTCATTTAATAATTCATTCTTACCTTTGCGAGAAGGCAAAATACAGAAAAACAAAATATCTAGATTAAAAAATACGCTCAACGCGCTTTTTCCTCAAAAAATTCCAGAAAGAAATTACATGATTTAATTGGCAATAATAAATGAATGTGTTATATTGTTGTTGCGAACTAAGTTCTCTAGATGGCAACAAATCCACTATCCTGCTGTTTCAAATGTAAACAATCGAGGCCGCATGAAAATAAAGGCAGTGGCACTTAAACAACTTAAATTGTTATAATTCTAAAATTATTGCATACAGATTTACTAAAGGCATAAACCTTAATCGAAGCTAAAACAACATAATTCAATCATTTTTAAAGCAAAAATGTACAAACAAACATAAAGAGTAAAGAAATGAGATCACTGTGGCCGAGTACAAAGTGGATATATATATACTGTAAAGATAGTATTTAGTACGTTTGGTGCGGCCTTTGCAACCAAAATACGAGGTGGCAATCTACTGTTATGCAGTTCTATTACAAACTTTCAAAGTTCTACAGCTACTCGTTTTCGAGTTATGCGGATCGTACGTCATACGTTCATACAGACCCACGAAAAACCACTAGCTCCTGTTTTCAAATGAAAATCATGGCTGCCATTAAAACAGGCTAGCGGCAATTAAACAACTTAAAATAGCTGATAATTCTAAAAATATTGTACACAGTTACTAAAGGCATAAAATCCTTACTAGAAGATAAACAATATAATTCAATCATTTTTAAAGAAAAAAATGTACAATTTACAAACTATAAAACTGAGAGCACTGAGCCGGTAATAGAGTGGATATATATATATATATTTATATACGTTTGGTGCGGCCCGATTGCAACCAAATACGAGGTCACATCTACATGTTATAGCAGTCCTATATACAAAATTTAACGTTCTGAGGCTACTCGTTTTTAGTAGCGAGATACGTACATCCACGTCGTACATACGTCGTACAGATGCCACGAAAAATCTCTTAGAATTAATTTTAAAGCAGATTTATAATTTTTGAAGGAAAGAGTATTTTATCTGTCCTTACGTACTGATATCATGCAAAAACATCATTAAATTGCATTCGATAGCGGTCAAAATGGATATTTTCATTGAAATATGCTGCCTGAAACTTTTGGCGATTACAATACTTCCTTTTTACGTCGTACAAGGAAGTAAAAATGCATAGCTCTAGAAATGAATTACCAGTTTTTCTAACATAAAAATATTGAGCTGTATCATAACCTGAAATTATAAAAGCAAAGCACATTAAAGCATTTGCGTGTCATATAAAACTCAAAAACTTATAACCAAATATCCTGTTTATGGTACTTGCATATTAATGCAACCTTGGCAATTTTTTACAGATGAAAGGGCAAAGTTTACTTATTGGGTGCAAGTTGGCAATTTGCACAAATTGTTTTTAGAAACATTCCCAAACTATGGATATTTATCTCATAAGTGGGTAGACATTATCAACACATTAAGAGAAAACATACTTCAGTTATTTAAGATACAAATTTAAATTATTAAATAAGTATTATGGAATATATTAAAAAAAATAAAACCTATTCTTCACCAGAACAAATCTCTTTGTAAATTTTTTTTGTGTTATTCTACTCCCCAAGAACACAGCAATCTGCTTAAAAAATCATCGAAAAATTGTAGAATCTCATCTCACTGAAACCTCAGCAATACCAGCTGTCTCCTAAATGTATCTCCTTATCCTTTTCTTCAAAGATTTTTCAGCAAAATTTTGTATTCCTGCAGAAATTTTACCACAGTTTTTTCCCTTGCTTGCAAATTCCACAAGTGCATTTTAAGACAAAAATGTTCATGACTTGTTTATAAAAACCATTGGAACTTGGAACAAAATAAAAAGAATGCAAATGAAAATAATGACCCTTTACTTAAAAAAATTGTTATGAGAATGCTTGCTTGCAGACTGTTTATGGGCATGGTTGCCAGAGTTTGGCACATTTTGAAAATCTGGCTGCTTCTACTAAGGGTTTGCAATAACACCCAAGGACTCTGTTTACAAGTAGTTATTTACTTCAGTTTGAAACATGTAAAAAAGAACTTAAGTAGACTAAAAATTCTGAATATGTATTCCTTAAAACTTTCACATCAATATACAGTCAAAAGTCTTTAATCCGGACTCGTCGGGACTTCGGCAATTCTGGATTATCGATTTTTCTGGATTAGAGATCATCCATTTTAAAGCTGGTAGATGGCATGCAGAAATTAAAATTAAAAATATGAAACCGTAAATTTATAAAATAATGAGCAATTATGATCTAAAGGGTATCAAAATTTACCAAAAAAGAAGCTAATATTATTTGTTTACTTTATTAACATTTCTTTCAACGCACGCATCGTAAAGCATAACTTACGCATAGCGAAATCAGAAATTGCAACCAGAAAACTATTTGATTTGTATTCATGATATTTATAATGACGAGGAATTTGATTTAAATCATATCAAAGACAGAGTCCATCGAGATTAAATACTACATTTAGTAAGGAAAAAAGCCGAATAAAATAAAACATCTGCCCTGAAGATAACGATCGTGTTGACAGATCAACTTCCAGTTCTTGCGCGCCGCGACGTCCCCCCCCCCGCGCAGAGCAGTGAAATTGATATAACAGATTTCGGAATGGTTAGATAAAAAAGGATATGCCTTTATCCATTTTTGTAGCAATTCGTTTTTTGTTTGATGGACATCGAAACATACTTTCGTTTCTAGATCTTTGGGAGCTCCAACGGAAATTCTATTGACATAATCGAAAGTTCAAGCTTACTTTAAAATTGCTCTTACAGTCTGCAAAAAATAATAAGCCGGTCCAATTTAAGATTAAGGAACATGCAATCATCAACATTAACTGAAATAATAATTAGATATTTAGCTTACCATCCATTACATTAAACGCACATGCGTTCTGCACTTGCGCAGACCATATGGCGTCTAAATGTCTTGCGCGCACGCGTAAACGGCTAATGCCATGCCGCAGAAAGATTTTAGCTGAGGTCCGGATATAGATCATTCCGGATTATGGGTGTCCGAATTAACGACTTTTGACTGTATAACTTTTCGGGTAGCCTATATTTTAGGGTACCCCTCGGATTATCGCCAAGTTGTTGTTTCATTTATGGCAAGAGTATTTTAGATTGAATGTTAAGGAAACCCTATTATGACGTGATTGGTTGTAATGCATGATTGCAGTGATTTTGACTGTTGGGAATATATTTCCTAAGGTTATTTATGCACTTGATGTTGGTTAGGAAATACGTTGCTTATTTTGTGCTTTACACCCTAAAATGCCTGCTGGTGATACAATTAACCTGAAGTTTCTGTATGCTTTGGAATGAATGGGAAAAAAATATTGATTGACTGGTGCATAAATGAAGATTTAAATGGCTTTGTTCACCTCTCAGTAAATTATGCAGCGAGATTTAAGAATTTCGAAACCATAGCTCATATCAACACTATGCAAGGTATGTGGGGTGTAAAAAAAATGGATTTTCAAAAGAAATGCCACTGATAGTCCAGCAGCATTAAGGATATTTTTGATTTTTACTTTTGTGAATTTATATGGCAACAGAAGTACACAGATTCTAGTTCAAATAATTTTAAACAGTTTTTGGATGCTATTAAGGAATTTTGTATGCAATACACCGAAGACACAGAAATTTCTAAATAAGGTTAAATTGATGTTTCCTTTTTGTACTGCGCAGATTAGATAACATGCATTTCCATTTTTATGTCATTACTTTGTATTATTTTGATTTTATGTGCAGTTTATTGAGATTATAATTTTTTATGTTTTAGATGCTAGTTTACTTGGGAAGGAGTTGCTCATAAACAAGAATGGGAAAAAAAAAAAAAAAAAACCGCCAATTTTCACCAAGAGATACCCTGAAATATATTTTCTCCAACTTTTCTACGATTAGTGACTATTATATTTGAACATTTATAGTTCTGTCAGGGCTTCAGTTTTCAACAAGAAATGAAAAATAAGCCACTTTTCCTCAAGTCCTTCTACTTTCCCTTCAGGAAGGTATCCATCTCAACTTTAACAGCACATGTATTTTTATTTATAATATTAGATTGAAATGATAACAAAGATTCATTAATTGAAAATATAATTTATAAAACTAAATCTTAAGCAATTAAAATCTTTCTATAAACATTGCACACAGAAAACACTTAATAGTTTTTTCAGTAAAATTTAGTTACCTTTGTTTGGCAGTTTCTTCTCCTTCTAAAACAATCATCCATGCAATAGCAAATCCTTTATAAAATCCAATCTAAATAAAAATGTTTTTAAATAAATCTTTTTGAAAAATGACACAATTATTGTTTTTTGCAATATATATATGTCTTATTACCCTTCTCTGAAAACAAACAGTAAGTTGAACATTCTTTAATTAAAGTGGTACATAAAAAATAAATCAATAAACTCTTCATCCTTCTAAAACAATCAAAATTGGGATTCTAAAAAATCCTTCTAAAAAATGAAATTGAGAAATTACATTCAACAGAAAGAGGAGGACTTCCGTTGCACAAAATTAAGATACAGTTATCCAGCTATGAATATCATAAAAAAAAATGTTGCCTTTCTTATCCTATTGCAAATGAAACAGCAGTTAATAGTCTTCTCAATCCAAAGTAGGAAAATATAAGATATCGTATGCTTTTATTTACACGCTTTTGCAAAAAAATCGGAGAACCATGAAGGAAGTGGTTGTTTTTGATGAAATTGAATATGTCTATAGCTCATACACAGATAATAAAATGATTAAAAAATCAAGGTCATAGTACCCGTTCATGGCTCACAATCATCCATTGAATGCTCAAATTAGTAGTTGGTCGAACCACCCCTGGGGCCAATGGATGCTTGAATTTGTTGAGGCAAGCAGTGGCAGATGTTCCTGGCAGAATGTGTCCTCCTGCCGTCACATTATGGCAGGCATTCATCAGTTGTACTCTAGATCTGCGATCCTTGCTGGTCAAGGAAGAGTATCAACCACACAGAGACAGTTTAGAGATATGCAAGCAGTATGTAGCCTGGCATTATCTTGTTGGAAAATGGCCCCAGGATGACTTGCCATGAAGGGTAATACAACCGGCCGCAGGATGGTATCAACAATCATTGAGATTAAAGATGTACGGAGGATGACTAAAGACCCTCTTCATAAGAAATACAACCCCACCATCACACAGGGGGTTATGGCTTGTAAAACAAAGCTGATTGGACCCTGCCTTGTCATCTCCACACACGAACACGATGGTCATCTGCTTCAACAGCGAAGCAGGATTCATTGCTGAACACTATTCGATGCCAGACTGATGGCAGCCATGATGATTGGCTGCGACACTACTCCAGACAACTCCACTGATGCTGTGGGATCAAAGGCAAACATCTTAAAGGCTTCTGTGAGCGTAACCCCACTTCAGAGAAGCGCTGTGAGATGGTGGCTGTAGTGCGAATACTCAATAATGATACTGTTGGGGCGGTTCGCGCCTGGTGAGCAATCATCCTATCTTGCCTCGCATTTGTGCTCCTTGGCCTTCCAGAGCCTTCATTTCGTCAGCAGTTTCCTTGTAGCAACTATTGCTGCCAGTATCTTTGCACAGCAGTGTCTATACACTGCATGTGGCGGCCTATTGCTCGGTATAGGCACTCAGCTTCATACACCCCTATAATACGACCATGTTCAATAGTCATTTAGTTGTCTATAGTCTTGTTGTTCAATAGTCATTTAGTTTAGGTCTTAGATATCGTTGTAATGGCATCTTTAGTTGCTTCTTTACGGAATTACAATTGCAGCAACAAAAAAGATAAATTTTTCGCCTCTGTTACTGATTTTATAATTTGTGAATTGTGCACTAGAAATGCGTGCTTTTATCGGAATTCCTGTTCATTTGCCTTGAAACTTTGACCATTTGCATGTTCGATTAAGATGTTTTTGCATACCAAATTTTGTCACAATTGCAAAAGTCCTTCTTTGGTGTTTAATTTTTTTTTTTTTTTTTTTTTTTTTTTTTGCAAAAACGTTTGCAAAAACTTGCTGGTAACTAATAAAGATGAGCCACAGGAAACTGCAGCAAATCAAATTTTGAGTAGATAGATAAGAAATTTTTCACATCTTTGATGATGGCTAGATATGTTACACCCACCAGCCAAAAAATTTACAGTAAACAAATTTTATAAGTTACATTTTTCCTTCTTTAAAAATATTTCCTTGCCAATAAATTAAAACAATAAGTTTGAGTAATTTTACAGCAGTAAGTTATGTTTGTTTTATCAGTGAATGATTTCTGTTTATATTAGAGTAGTATGTATGTTTATTTTAACAGTAAATGATTTAGAATTCCGATTGTCTGATGACTTAGAATTCGCACAGTTAATCTCCATACTTTGGGACTAAAAACTGAGCGAATTAAAAAATTTTTAGCCTTTTTTTAAATTAAAAGCTGTGTTTTTCGTTTTGTTTATATTTCTGTTCTAATTTTTACATTGAACTTGGCATATTTGCATATAAGTAACTGCTAAAATTCATACCTTAAATATTTCTTAATCAAGATTTATTACAAAACTGTTACATTTTTAAAATACAATACACACAAATAAATTAATATTAGGAGAAGAGAAAAATGCTGTAGAATCGAAAATACTTCATTAATAAAAAAAATCTATTTCTTCAATCAAAACAATATATTTTTGTTAGAAAGTACACATATAAAAAATTTAATACATAATTTTTTTATATGTGTATGTAATTTAAGACATACACATATAAAAAAAATTGCCATTAAATTTGCTATGCCGAATTTCCTGGAAAATCAAAAATTTTACTTGTTTACATCCAAAAATAAGTTCAAATTATCAGCAGTCTACTCTAGCAAACTTGGAAAGCTCATGAAAATCTTATTTTCAGTTATCCAGCTTGAATTTTTTTCTATTTTATGCAAAGTGAAATTATGGCATAAAAGGATGGAATTAGATGAGCACACAATAATGGAATATCCTGCGGGCTGACAAAACTCATTTCTACTTAGATGCAAAGGTCAGTAATTATAATTGCTGCCTCTGGGATTCAGTAAACCTCAAGCACTTGAACAATGGCCTACGTTAAGATACCCCTGTCCCACTTTTCTCTCACAGACCTGAAATACCAAGATCTTGCAAAGTGACGAATTATGAGTAAACATTACAATCCAGTTTTGGAACAATACTTATTAGAATGAGAGTGTTCAACATTCACATCCTTGTAACAGCAATCCAATAACACATTGAAACATGAATGTTGGACTCTATCATTTTAATCGAAGACACATTTATGAAGTCATGTATGTTGCAGCAACAAGATGCTTCCTGTTCCAAAAGGCTCCAAAATAATTACTCAATTTTTAAAAAATCTAGTGAACATATTTCCTATTCAAAGATGAGAGATTTTTAAAAGTTCTGGTAAGATGGGCTGCCCAGTTCATAAATCTTCTCCTCGTTCTAAAGTAGTTGTTCTCAACCTTTTTTTGTCCCATTCACCCGTTTTACCACAGCTGACCATTATCCCGCATTCATTTCCCAAACTCAAAAAATACATACACATAAACAAGAAAGGGTAATGAAAATGTCGATAAATACCAGAACTTTAAAAAAGTATTTTTTTATACTCATAAACTAAATTTAGGAAAATAAAAGATTACCCTCATCCCCTTTAGAACTATGAAATTCTCATCTAGGGGGAATTCTCCCTTGTTGAGGGCCCCTGTTTTAAAGCAAAGTGCAAGAACTGCTCACATGAACTTTCATGCTAAGAGATTTAATCATGTCTGAGTAGCTAAAAAATATCATTTCTTTAAGCCTCACATATGCATGTCTCTGAAATTCCAGACAACACGTATAATTTAGGCTCTCGAATTTCTTGAGAGATCATATTTAGTGATGTGGGTTCTCTTTGACAAAGCTAAAGGTCAGGAAAGTGGGACATATTTTTCAGGTTCTTTATAAAATGCTGTACGAGGCAGTTAATAAAATGATCTTATGATTTCAGTGCATTAAAAAAATGAAGGATCTCATAATGCACATATAGTTTTATACTCTTACTGCAATTAAAATTTTGTGTACTAGTCTTACAAATGTCATTCATTAGATACCACATGTATTCTTTTGAAGAATTTGAATTTTTTTCATACTAAATTTCTTTTCCTAATCTGAACAGGATGCATGCCAAATTTCACTTGATCAGTTAATGAGAACAGTTTTCACATGTCTCTAAGCACTGTCATTTTAATTATAACATCCTTACACACTATTTTAGAGCAAGGCCATCTTATTAGAATCATGTGTCCCCACACGAACTATCTCAAGATTTACACATTTACTAAAATAAGGCTCCTATATTCATGGGACCACAGTATTGCCCTTAATGGCCATACATTAAGATGTCACTGGTTTAGATAGCTCATTCTGTTTGCTTTTCCTGTGCTATAAAGTAATCATTATTGGTAACACATTTTGAAAAATGATGTTATTTCCTAACTAATTCTTTTAAAGCAGCAATCTTCACTCATGTTACACAAAATATACTGTTATGTTGATAACCAATATTTTGTTGGTTCAAGTAAACTTAAAAGTTTTGCTTTCTGGATCACTTTTCTTGTATGTATTCATTGAAATGCAACACTTAGTATGATGTATCATAACAAATATTTAACCCTTCAATGTTAGATACTTTCCTCCATTTAAAGAAAAGTATATCACAGACAGAAAATGCAAACTGAAGCGAATATGAAGTATATTGACTGATGGTGATATTTTATACTCTCCCACAAACCAGTATATCTAGATGTAACCCCTAGAAAATAAAGAGTAGTTTACACTCGCAGAAAACTTAGGCAACCCCGAAAGTTAAGGTTAAGGAGCAGACTGTATCATGTCTATTTCGAAAGGAAAAGGAAGCTATTAAACAGTCACTTCAAAATACATAGTTTTAACTGTTCCATCTAAATCTATTAAAATTATTGAAACAAATCACTTAACATTACACTGAAAAAAATACATACAAATAACTTTCAGATAAAACATGATGTAAAAATGAACAGTTTAGAAAATGTAAACTAAAATTTAATTCATTTGTTTTCCGACTAAAGCATAAAATGATGAAAATTGAAAACTAGTTAAGGAATAGATGCAAGAGGTGGAAGTACTTACTTCAGAAGCTATCTGTGCCCCTCTTTGAAGTCCCAAAGCATAACCTTCTTTATATCCTGTTTCTTCACCTAAACTAAAACCTCTGGTAAATCCTATTTTCTGATACCTGAGGGAGAAGCAATTGAGGATTGAATAAAGATTCAAAATACTAATTCTAAATACATTATATTTAAATAAAATGTATAAATCTCTCAAGAAATAAATGACATGCTGGGTTTAGATCAGTAAATGCTCATAAAAATGAAATCAGCTATACATTACTAATCATGGAGAATCTGAAAAGGAATAGAATATTATCTATCATATTGGTAGGAAACTCATAACGCTGCTCTTTTTCATTAAACTTATTTCATTACAGGTTTATATCATACATATATATATAAAGCATAAGAAATTTAGAACTCATTTTCCACAAAGACAATGAAATTTATAACATATGAATTTCAATTTTTGGTCTTTGTGAAATTAGTTCTAAGTTTCTTACTTTATGTCTTTACTGATAATTTTTCAGTAGCTTAATGGGTGAAAATACTAGGCATGATTATATATGTCATATTAAAAGCACAAGGAAAAGACGGAACACTGTAGATCGGTGATCTAAAGAGCTTGTCAGTCGAGGCAGTTTTAATTCCATTTTTATTTTGAACTGATATTTGTGGCCACAGTCACTTTGCACTCTAGTCATGCCTTTCCACAAAAGATTTACATTTTTGATATTGTTGAGAAGGAAAGCAAGCCAGCGAAATTACATCTTAGCAGAGTAGAGGGCGAAAGCTGAAGTGCGTAGTTATGCAAAATGGAAGCACGCGAAGAGAAGTTTTGTTTGCAATTCGGTGATTGGTGTCAAGAGGCATCTGGTATTAAACGGTTAAGTAAGAATCGCATGATTAATTTGAATGAGGCAATGTAGAAAGAAATTACGATTTTAGAATAGAGAGGAAGAATAATGTTATAGTTATATTATAATTCTGATCATATAATTTTATCTTACATATATATATATATATATTTAATTTTTTGTAATTATATATATATATATATGAGTCTGTGTATGTTTGTATTTGTTGTGTATTAATTTCACTGATACACAAATAACCACACCATTTTTTATACAAATATATAATTGATTAATATATAAATAACCAATCGTGGTTGTGGTGGTAAAATTAATGGCACATAAGCTGAGAAAAAGGTTATAATGCATCAAATGCATAATTTAACACATTCTGATAAAATCGGGACTAATATTAAAATGAGCACATAAAATTATTTTAATGACAGTTAATTAATGACACACAGATGAAAAAATATATATGATGAATGCAACTACACCACTAGCCATTTTATATGCTACACCATAAAGGAAGCATCCAAACGGCATGAAACTTGCATTATCATTCCATTCTGAATAATCAGATTTGTTCTCTCATGAGAATTTTTTTGCATGTGCAGCTTCAATATGCCTCATAGAAAAACACAAGCATAATTCGAGCATGTCTCTCTGTTCAACTAATGTAGAATCGTCGTGCACAGAGATTGCAGATTATCCTTCTAGGAAATTGGTCATCATGTCTAACAGAGCCAAACAGCCATGCAAATATGGAATTGGTAGATACAGGAGGGAATGACCGACAAACAGGAGGAAGCGCAACTGCCTCATCACATTACTTCACAGGAAAGACAGGTTTATTGAGCACATGGCACTGATGACAATGGACTGTTCACTAGGTGTCTATTGCTTTGCTTAACTTTAAACTAAAGGCATTTGTTTCTGGTGACTGAATGGCATGATGTGTTTTCAGATTAACCACGCTTCTGCCTGCAGTACCATGACAATCGGATTAGATTTTGGAGATACTGTGGAGAGAAGCCGCTCAACTGTTGGGTTATGCATCATCATACTGGTCCTGCACCCAATGTTATGGTGTGGGGTAGTATTCAGTTCGACACTCTAGTACCCATTATCAGCGCATTTAGCAGCCAAAGCTATATTTCTCAGTTTTTGAAGCTTGTTCTCATTCCTTACCATCAGGGCTTGGTGGTGGCCATATTTCAACAGGTCAATGCAGGACTACACATTTCACACAATGTTTTGCAGTTTGAATAGCAGAATCTATCACACAGGAGCTCTTTTGCAACAGCGGTATGATATTCAACTGCCATATGACAGTCCCAAAGTCATTATCTGCTTCAAAGGCATACAAAACTTGTGCAGTGCTGCCCTTCTCATCAAAGGTCAGTGCTAATAGGAGGCAGCACATGAGCAAGCAACTACATACCAAGCAGTAATAAGAAAGCATACCATCATGTGATTGCTACAGAGGTGACCTTGGAGAACTACGCATTTCTACCCACTGGAGACAAATGACAAACTATGTCGCACATGCTCCACCCACAACCTAATGGCAATACACATTCCTACAGACTGGGTCTCTCAACCAAGCTTCACCATGCATCTGAAGATCCAACAAATCGTAGCCATACAATGCAGCTGCAACCACAGATCATCAATGCAATGATCATTCCCAACACACTGGGCTCACAGCCATGCCTACAATGCAGATTCAGTTCATGGCAACCAATTGTATCTCCTCATATCACATCAGAAATGCTGGCTGAGTGAGTGTATAGAGAGCTAATCAAAATAATCGTATTGCAAAACAGTTCAAATATCAGAATATGTCACATGGGAGCTCTTTTGTAATAGTGATATGATATTCGACTGTCATATAACAGACCCATCAAATCCCATAGTCATTATCATCTTCAAGGGCATACAAATCTCATCTACTGCTTTACTTCTCATCAATGCTAACAGATGGCAATATACACAAGCAACTACATACTGAGCAGCACCAAGCAAATTTACCAACACGCAATCATTACAAAACCCTTAAAAGAAAAAAAGGAATTCAAGATGGCTGTGCTTCAAATAAGGAGTCACACAGTCATCAAGCAGAAGAACCTTAAAAGGATGGTCAGGATATGATAAAATATTGAAATAATGCTGGACAGACAATTGTTTAAGTCTTAACTGAAATGATGGTACATAACTGTTAATATAAAAGCTCTGAACTGGTGATGTTATGAAAGGTTCCCCCCAAACTCTGCAGGGTTTGAAGACAAATGGGATCCAGTTTCAATAAAACTGAAGACCAAGATAATTCAAAAACAACTGACTGATAGTTCGGTCTAAAGCGCAGAAGTACTCTATGCAGATATCTTCAGCATTCCAGGAGGTGTTTACTAAGACTCTTTAGATATTTAATGTTTTAAAACGCTTCTTCCTCAAGTACAGGATATGGGAAACAAAGGTTAGCTTTTGGTTGAACAATACTCCTTAAAACTTGACTTCAGGTATGACAGGAACCAATGACCCCTGAAGCTGAAGCTCGGGATACATATTTCATTTTTGACAAAAGTGTATGCAAATAGGCTTCTGTTTCGAAAATACAAATCCATGTTTTTCTGACTATTTCTCAATTCTGTTAAGAGTGATCTGCAACTGTCTCTTCCAATGCCTCATATACAGACATTGAAGACTTATTTGAAGGTCATCAATATGTCTTGAACAAGTTTGGAGGTTCTGAAACGTGTGCCCTTACAACATTCAATTGTAAATAGTTAGAGAAGGGCAGCAAACAATTCACAGGCAAGATGCTTCATTTCATAACTAAAATCATCTGGACCCAGGGTAGACCTATGTGTATCTAACAAAGCTGTCCTTAGTTCAAACATCAATAAATTGCCCTTATGTGACTCCGAGTTGGAAGAGCTGAAGGCAAAAGGAAATTTCTCTGAGCATACTTCAAAGACAGAAAGAAAAGCTGAGGGTAGTTTCTTCCACTAGAAATGCTCACCAATAACGTTTGCAATTTGTTCAGTGGTGCTAATAACTTAACCATCTTCTTCCCAAATGGAAAAGGTGTGATCAGTATATGCTCTACAATCCTTTCCTAATTCTTTCGTATACTCATTTATTTGATGTAGAGGATGTTACTGATGAACTGATGACACAAAGTATATCCATAAATATTCTGCAGTTCTTTCATCTTACTTTTCTAGTGTTTTCTATAAGGTTTGATAAAGTGAGATACCTACGAAAAATTCCCCAAGCTTTTCTCTATTGTTGAGTGCTTTCTGATATTTATGGTTCCACCATAGTTTTGAATATTTTGGCAGTTTTCCTAGTATAAAGTAGGTATAAAGGCTACAGCAGGTATAAAGGTATAAAGCAGGTATAAAGGCTGTAGCAGGTATAAAGGCTACAGCCGCTTGTATTATAATATCAAAAATGGCTTTAACTGTATCACCGATTGACACATCTTGAACACTTTCTTCTGTAGCTCTTCAACAAATAAGAAAAGTTCACAGTTTGCCAAGTATAAATCGAGGAGTTCACAGTTTGCCAAGCTAAATTGCCAAGCATAAATCAAGGAGATATTGACCTGACAATAGAGTTAAGACAGGAGTTAGAGTTAGAGCCTTCTTGTGTAAGAGTTGCAGAAAAGGGAAATATCACTATTATAAGGATCCTTCCCAAAACTATAATGGCAAAAAAGACAAGACAGATAATGAACAGATGGCAAGAGTGAAAGTGTAAAAGGTCACCGCACGCTCAGCTTGCCACTGCTGATTAATTTTCTTGCATATTTTGATAACTAATAAAAATGTAGACTAAAGAGGGGCATTGAGAAATAATCCCCCTCCTAAAAGTGGGTAGTAAACCAAAAAGGTACAAAATTGATCTATTTTTACACCTCAACAACTTTTCGATACGAATGTACTACGAAATAATGCTCATTCATGAAAATTCATTCTTATCGGGGATAACTTCTCTCGATCTTGCACTAAGCAAATGGTTTTTAAAGCTAATGGCATAAACTGCAACTGAAATTTCAAATGATGTGCTGCTTGTAATAGTATATCCAGTGAAACAGGTTTTACCCATTGAAACAATTTTCCATTAATATCCATTCTGGAATTTTACAGTTTTGAAAGTTTTATGTATACAGCTTTGGGATCACCCTGTATAAACATGCAGAAACTTAATTACACAGCAAATAAATGTATTTAAAAGTAATTACCAATAACTATTCAATATAT